GGACCGATCCCGGGACTCCAGGATAATGACCTGAGCCGAAGGCAGTCGCTTAACCAACTGAGCCACCCAGGCGCCCCGGAAAAGGTAAATTTTAAATGCTAATTTATGGAACAGATCAAATCTGGTGATTCATATTATGTTGGAAATTCTTAAGTTTGTAAAAGAGAGTCCTGAACCCCTTTAGGATGGGGTCTAAAGGTCAGTAAGGTTAGTGGGCCGGGGCGGGGGAGGGGCGGGGAGGGGGGTGCCTGAGACAGGCCGCCTCGCATCTCTGAGGAATTCCGCGTGCTTAAAATCAGGGTTCCCCCCTCAAGCTTTGGGGCAAATGTGGGTATTTTAGGGCCTGTGTTCGAGACTCTTCTTCCTCTCCCGTTTGATGACTGTTAATGCAGGATCCCGGTTTTGAAGCTGAGATGGTTTTCACCTGGGGGACCGCGGGGGCCCCTCCTCCCTGAACCCCGTGGTGATGCCCACGACCCTGCGGTGGCGGGGGGGTGGGTGGCGGTGAGGCGTCACTTGGACCCTTTGGACCGTCGGAGGCTGGAGGGAGGGCGGCAGAAGTGGCAGAACTTGTCGCGTCAAGGCTGGATCAGCTTTCCTTTCCTTAATCCTGGTTGTTTCTGCTGAGCTCTCTTGTGTGTGTTTCAAAACCAGAAGCCCGAGAGGGGCGCCTGGCTGGCTCAAGTCCGCAGGGCATGCGACTCTTGATCTCACGGTGAGAGCTGGAGCCCCACGTTGGGCGTGGAGACTACTTAAAAAAAAAACAACAAACCCCAAACAACTGGAAGCCTGAGGAATCTCAGCGAGCCCGTGAAAGGGGAGGCTCCCCGTGCGCCCTATGTCACCTGCGCCGGGAGCCTGCGTCCCCACTCCGCAAACACCTCCTCTCCTGGCTGCCTCCCGCCTTCTCTCTCCCAACAACCGGGAGTTTTGGGGGGTTGCGGCCAAAAGCCCCGGGGCCAGTGCGGGGCGCTCTTGGGATCTTCCCACCTTCCCGGGAGCGCGCGAGGAGGTGAGCGCGCGGCCCGCTGGCTTCTGCAGCGTCCCGAGGCTGCTCCATCCACAGCTTCTGTCCCCTGCGAAGAGACTGTTCCGGGCCTAGGGGGGTCCCAGCGACTCCCAGAGGGATGGTCGTCTCTCCTGGAGTGGGAAAGCACCAGTGCTCCCAACATACTGGGATGTACCCTGAACCTGGACCCTTTCAGTTTGTCAGACAACGCGTAAGACGTGCCTATTCTATCTAGGACAGTAGAACGAAGTAGGAAAAACCCTTCAGGGTTCCACTCTCCAAAATCAGCTTTTTGTTCTAGACATAAATTAGTTTTCTCTTTCTTTCTAGTTTGAATTGTACTAAAATGTTCAATATTGAAGCCTGCTCTTTTCACTTAACATTATTTTACAAACATCCATACTGGTTGCATAATATTTTGTTAAGTATCTATATAGCCCTTCCTCTGTTGGATATTTAGGTGGTTGGGTTTTTCTTTTTTCCTCTTTTTTAAAAAAATAATTCTGTGGTAAACATCTTTTTGTCCAAAGGGTTTTCCATATTAGATTATAGTCTCATTATTGTAATTATTTGGGGCAAAGTGTGGGGATATTTTTAAGTCTATCTATCTCTCTATCAGTCTATCATCTGTCTTTCAAACGGCTTTGTAAAAGGTTAGTACCAGTTTTCACTCCTGCTAGCTGTGCTTTAGTATATATATTCCACACCAGTCGAAGAATCCTCATGAGATAGTGAGGCCAAGGGCATGGGTGAGGAGCGTTAGATACTGACTATGGAAGCCTGCTCTGGGTAGCCCACTATTTCCCACTCTCTGTATTTTGAGGACAATCGTTTATATTGAAATCGGGGGGAAAGAGATTTGGTTATGTTTCAGGGCCTGAGGTGGTTCTTGAGGTTCCCTTGGGTTGGTATGTGTAAAGGAGAGCACTATCCCACATTGTCATGGCTTTGTAAGCCCTGAGCTTGAGTCACATAGAAAGGGAATACCATTTTTTATGTGTGGGGCACCTTTTTGGGCTTGGCTTCCATTTTGAGGAGAGTGAGTCCACAACATCCCTCAGCAGTTTGGCTGTATCTTCTTGGGCAGGGACTGGACCTGACATGGTTTTTAGCATCCCCTTACTTTCATATTGCAATTGTTTGTTAAGGTTGTTGCCCAGAGAGAAAGGGTTTCTCTCTTCAAGGGTGCATTTCAGTACTTGCGTGCGTCTGGTGGGCGGCAAGGAATGCAGAAGTCGCTTATAGCCATTAGTCTGCAAATGTATTGGAAGGGCTGAGTTTCAGTAAGTGGACTGTTCGGATGGTATTCATGTTTGAGTTGTTCATGGTCAGTTCTTACATTCTATAGAATCCATTAGAAAACCTGTAACTATTTCACCATTCATTTTGTGTCTGACCTTCATGTTCCTGGGGCTTTGCTTACAACAATGAGCTCTTAAATCCAAGGCTGCTGTGTTTGCCCTCCTACTTTTGGATTAGAGCAGGATTCCAATGTCCTTCAGTTTAAACAAGTTCAGAGTGTCTCCTTGAAATTATTCTCAATTTCCAGCCCATTTCCAGATGACGGGCAGACTTAAATTATGCAACGTGTAGCTGGACATTTGTGTCATGACTACATAAGCTCAATGATGTCTCCTAAGTCTTTGTGGATCACTTAGAAGCCCACTGGATCGATAGTGTTGAAGGTTTTTTTTTTTTTTAAGATTTTATTTATTTCTTTGACAGAGAGAGACACAGCGAGAGAGGGAACACAAGCAGGGGGAGTGGGAGAGGGAGAAGCAGGCTTCCCGCTGAGCAGGAAGCCCGATGTGGGGCTCGATCCCAGGACCCTGGGATCATGACCTGAGCCAAAGGCAGACGCTTAACGACTGAGCCACCCAGGCGCCCCCGTGTTGAAGGTTTTTAATCCGAATAATTTTAATTGCATTCAGAAACCTGCATATTAACAAGCTGGTCGGAAGGCAGCTTGGCATTCAGAGTGATACTGCTTTAATCTTTGAGATAAAATACATGGTCTGGTATTTTTGAGGATGTTGATGGACGGTATTTTTTAGATATTTTTTTTTAGTTCATTTTCACTGGTGGAGATAATTTAATGATCTCAAATAATTATTTTTAAATGCCTTAAAATAATATAAACCAGTAACTTTAGGATTCTCCCACCGACGGATATGCCTATTTTATATGGCGGGGTGTGTGTGTGTGTGTGTGTGTGTGTGTGTGTGTACATTAGGTCTGTGTCCTTGCCTGTAGAGAATATAGAAGTATCTCATGTATTATCTTTAAGGAGCTTGTAACCAAGTCATGGCATAAGGCAAAGAAAGCTGAAATATCTACTGAATGTTTCAAGATAGGATATAATTCTATATTCACAGTGTGTTGCTGATTGATGATGACGTTCTAAGGGCCAGCACTGTGGGGTACGAATGGTCTGAAAGAAGAAGACCAATGGGGCCCCAGTGTTTGGGGAAGACATCCTGGAGGGGTGGGATTGGGGGGTCTTGAAGGAACGAGTAGGTTTTGGGTGGGTGGAAGTGAAATTACATTGAAGTTATATGCCGAGAAGACTCTGGTGGGATAAAGGAGACGAGGGTGGTTAAGAGAATAAGAATTTTATTGACTTGTGATGGGTAAAAGATTAGATAGGATGGTGGGTCCAGGTTTAGGAGGAGCCCAAAGTCAAGAAGGGAGGCTGACCCTTGAAACCACCACTGCGTTGTCATCGTTATCGACAGCGTATTATTAGCAGCTAACTTTTGTTGTGTGCTGACAACATGGTTCTAAGGGCTTTACATATAATTTATTTAATCCTCAAACAGCCTTATGAAATGCATAACAGTTACTATGTCCACTTTATAGCAGAGGGACTGAGACATAAAGAAGTTAAGTAACTTTCAGTTGGTAGGAGGCAGAGCCATTGGGGTTCAGATAGACTGAATCAGGCAGCCTGGTTTCTTTCAGAGCCTGTGATCTTCACCATGAGAGTTCCTCGTGAGATTGACATGGTCTCCCTTGGGTTGTGGAGGAGCCCAGCCTTTTGAGTCCGAGAGGCCTGGACTCCCATTCTGGCTCTACCATTTATTAGCTCTGACCTTGGAAGTTACTTATCTGAACCTCGATTACATTATTTATGAAGGAGGGATAATAATACTTGAGGGCTGTTGGGAGGATTAAATGAGATAACATACATAAATCACCCAGCGAAATGCCCAGCAGGGAGTAAGTGGGCAGGAAATGATAGCTACTGTGAGCTTATATTTCTCAAATATATCTAGGGCTATAAAGAGGTTGCTGAGAAGAAGAAGAAGGAATGGGGGTAAGAGATGATTCAGGTAGAATTTACTTGGTGTCACTTGCAATAATAATGAGCCAACCCAGATACCAGAAGCGGAATTCCTTCTTCTGGAGCATTCCAGGAATGGACTAAATTCCAGATGTGGTTCTGCATTGCTCCAACAACTAACTGCAATTTTCTTTGTCCTCCAGAATCTGGAGGGTAAAACCAGGACATTGCCATTGTACTGAAATTGAGCACAGAATCTGGTGCCAATTGTGCATTCCAGGGGCTGAAATCAGGATCTGCTGAAATGGGTGTCCTCGCTCTGCCGCCTCCGTCTTCCTAATGGCGCCAACCACAGATAATTGCCGCAGCTCAGAGAGAAAAAGAGATTTTTGAAAGTAGCATACTTAATAACTGTCTATAAAGTAAAACAATGCATGGGATAATTATAAATGAGACAGAGACATTTAAACAACACATTTAAGAGAAGAAAAAAAGAACAGCAGAAGAAAAACTGTGCCCTAAGATGAAATGTTAATTAGAAATATCACTCAGAGTCCATGGAGAAACCGTACTTAGCGCTTCTCACATTGGAGGGCTTACACATTCCAGACTTTTACATGGTAGTTTTTTTCTCTCTCTGGCATTCTGGGCTTGTAGAGTTTCTCTTAACGTTATGTCCTCCAAGAATTTCAAAAGTCATGGTGCTAATGTCTACAAAGAACAATTTCCTTTTCTGATTTGCAGTTTTCTTGGTTGTGATAAACCTGTTTGGCTCTTATCTCTGTGTCCTTGGTATCGTCCAACTTGGCTTCCTTGGAACCACTGAATGTTCTTTGTTGCTTTTAATCCAATATTGGTTTTGAAATTTGGAGATGCGAGAAGCTATCAGGAAAAATAAAAGTTAAAAAAAATATGCAGTGTGTCAGGCGCCTGCGTGGCTCAGTCAGTTAAGAGTCTGACTCTTGATTTTGGCTCAGGACATGATCTCAGGGTCATGAGATCGAGCCCTGTGTTGGGCTCTGTGCTGGGTCCAGAGGCCTGCTTAAGATTGTCTCTCTTTCCCTCTCCCTCTGCCCCTCCCCACCTCCCTCTCTTAAAAAAAAAAGTAGTATGTCTGAAAATGTGAAAATTTTATCAAAATTCCAGAGTTGCTGTAGAATTTTTAAGTTTTCAAATAAGGCTAGAATCAGATTGCTACTTGCAGACCTATTTGGTTCTAAGTGATATTTTGGAAAAGCTGGAGTATTGCCTATTGCTTATTTTGTAGATTTTCTTCCTTTCTCCTTCTCTCTCTTTTTTTTAGAAGTTTATTTATTTTAAAGTAATTTCTTTTTTTTTTTTAAAGATTTTATTTGAGAGAGAGAGAGAGAGCGCACATGAGAGGGGGGAGGGTCAGAGGGAGAAGCAGACTCCCTGCTGAGCAGGGAGCCCGATGCGGGACTCGATCCCAGGACTCCAGGATCATGACCTGAGCTGAAGGCAGTCGCTTAACCAACTGAGCCACCCAGGCACCCTTAAAGTAATTTCTATACCCAACGTGGGGCTGGAACTCACGACCCGAGATCAAGAGTTGCATGCTCTTCTGGTGCCCCTTATAAATTTTCTAATAGGTGATTTTTAGAACAGGGGCTCTTAAATAGTTGGGCCTCTGTTTTATGTTGCTGATCTTCATGTGATGGATGTCTGTCCAAAGGTAATGAGGTAGTCTGGCTGGTAAAGTAATGCCTTTCCAAATTGTTTTGCCTGAGGTGTAAAGGGTGTTCAGATCCTCCAGAGCTCACTGCTTCCCAGCCTAACCTATCAGACACTTTATTCCCAGTTCGTTGAACTAAGAGATGTATTTATTGAACACCTACCATGTGCTAGGAGCTGTCATAGCTACTGAGTGGTGAACAGAACAGGTGTGATCTTTATGGGTGGAGCCTATA